GGGATAAGTGAGAAAAGAGATAATTAGTGAAAAATACAAGGTAACATTCACTCTCACATATCTCTGTCTCTTTCCTCCTTGCTCATTGCCCTTGAGGCAAAGTTTTAGCAAAACTCTTTGAAATTTAATATCTTTGCATCGGTTCAATTGTCGCCTTATGAAAAATGTGTTCTTTTAACTTGCAAGATCATATTAGCATATGACTTATATAACTTTCAACCCTTGTCAAAGTTTAGCATTTTGATACAGTGAAAAAGGCTTTAATAAGTGCAAACAATTAAAATAACAAAACGATAAAGATATGAGCGGTAATTCTCATAATTGTAACTTTATAAAAAAAATTTAAAAAAAAGGAAAAGGAAAAAAAAAAACAATCTGCGGATTGGAATAGAAAGCTCAAAGCTAGCTAGGAAAGCTGCAGACATTCATTAAAGAAAAGGAAAAAAAAAACAAAGTTGTTCCATCACATCAATGCAACAATTTTTTTTTGTCACGTTTCAATTTTTATTTTGTAAATTAAGTGGTTAGAATGGATTAGGCGGTTAAGGAGGTCTAATTTTATATTCTGTCGCTTTCACGATGTTAATAAAAAATAAATAAGCAAGCCATTAGGGAAGGGGCAAAAAGCAACCACAATGATTACAACTATATAATTTCGGACATCACAAATTTTAATCAAATCAAATCCAACCGTCCTTGATCTGTAATCGAATGGAACCAAATTGGTTCGTTTAGTTTCGGCCAATTTGATTTCGACTTTGAACAGGTTAGAACATTGGGCTATTTTGGCTCAAAAAACAACCCAATGAAGGGACGAGCTAAAGAAAAACGTGAAGTAATTTAGCTGGCTGGATTACTGTTATGATTAACAGTAATCCATCCTTTCTTTCAAAAAAAAAGAAAAACGTGAAGTGATACTGACGAAAGAATCATGTGGAAAAAATTTGCGGGCTAATGAAAGGAAAGAATTATGCGGATTTTAGAGAATCGAGAGATTGAACGGTACAAATTAACAAAACTGAACAATCAAATTTGATTCAGCCGGTTTAATCAGTCCAGAGTTAAAGCAATTTATTAATTAATTTATTTAAAGCTAAGTTAGCTAACCCCCCTGAATTTTGTCGTCCGTTCAAATTCCGTTAGGGTTTCTACGGTCGATCTCGATCTCAGATTTCAACATGAATCCCGGATCTATTTACTTCGTTGATTTAGTTTTTTGGAGATTTTTTGCTGTCTAGGGTCAAGCTTTTGATTGGATTGTCCAAATTATTTCTAGTTCTCTCTGTTTGATCCTTTGAATTGTGGATTTTACTCTTGTTCTCGCGGTCTTGTGAAGTTCGGTCGTTAATTGTAGTGCGTTAGATAGTTGATTTAACCAATCTCTGATAAAATAATCGATTCAATAGTCAAAGATTGTGCAAATTACCCCCTTAAATTTAAAACTACTCCCCAAGTGTTCATATTTTAAATTAGTCTCTCAAATGGGTTCATGAAAATTTAAAATTAGTCTCTCAAATGTTCAGAAAAACTCAAATATTCATATTTTAAATTAGTCTCTCAAATGGGTTCATAAAAACTTAAAATTAGTCTCTCAAATAGTTAAAGATTCGGAATTACTCCCTTAAATGTTCTTAATTAGTCCCTCAAATCTTTAAAAAATTTGCAAACTACTACATTATATTTAAAGCTATACCCTCAATTTGTTAAACGTTTTAAAGTTCCTTCCTCAAGTGATCATATTTTGAAATTGGTTTTATCCTATCTGGGTGGTAAGCTCACCATGATGACCACAATCATAGTTCTGTTTGTTGGAAATTTGTAGTAAAAAGACAATGAAAGAAAAATTTGACTTGTATTCCTCTCAAAATCA